AAGATGCCTTTGAATTGTGGTGCTGGAGAAGACTCTTAAGAGTCCCTTGGACTGCTAGAAGGTCAAATGAGTCAATGCTAAAGGAAATCAACCCTGACTGTTCATTGGAAGGATTGATATTGAAGCTGAAGCTCAGATACTTTGGCCACCTAATACAAGGACTCTTTGGAAAAGACCCCGATGCTGGGAAAGTTTGAAGGCAAAAGGAGAAGGGGACGGCAGAGGATGAGATGGTCAGATAGCATCACTGAAGCAATGAACATGAAGTTGGGCAGACTCCAGGAGGCAGTGAAGGACAGGAGGGCCTGGTGTGATATGGTTCATGGGGCCATGAAGAATCGGACACGACTTAATGACTGAACAACAACAAAAATTAATTTCTGCCCCTACAAATCTGCCATGTTAATCAGTTAATACAAGTCCTGGATTTAGTTGAGGGTTAATATACAAAACAACTCCATTTCTCTTTTTAATGTCTGCTGAAACAAATTCTTCACCCAAGGATTTATAGGTCAGATATCGCTGCCTGTTGCTTAGTTTGGATGAAAGAGTGGGCGTTGCTAAGAAATAGAAGGCTATTGGAGTTAGAAGGACATGATCTGAGATTTGGGTGACATGGATATCTATGATATGACAAAGCTAAGGTTAATGTAGATTTCAAAAATCATTATGTCAGGCGGGCTATTCTTAGGGTATGGAATAAATATAAATCTAGATTGTGCCCAAAAACACCTTTGTGGCTTTCAGCACAAGAAGCTTTTTATAGATGAGGAATGATAAGTAAACATAAATGGTTAGCTTATTGTGATGTACTAGAATTTTCTCAAAGGTATTGTAAAATAAAATCAAGGGACGATTTGATAACAGAAGGATGTACTTGTCAATGGTTTCCTAATGTACAATTATCAGAAAGGTTTAAGGTGGATAACAGATTTTATGGGTTTGAACAGTGCAAGACTGAGTTTGAAATAGAACCATGTGCAAATAATGAACATGTTATTGCTAAAATCTATAAACTTGTGCTGAAAGTGAGACAGAAAAAGCAAGTGAAATAATGCATGAAAAAAATGGGGTAAAATTTTGGTTACAATATACAGATGGACCAATGGGAAAATATGTGGTTGAAAGGATTGAAATTTACATTATGTTCTAACCATAAAGAGAATTTTTATAAAATGATGTATCATTGGTATTTGTTACCAGAGAAATTGTCCAGAATGTATAAAGGTACAGGTAGTCCTCACTTAACAAATGTTCATTTAACGACCATTCAAAGTTACAGTGGTCTCGGAAGGGATACTTTATGACCTGTAAAGCACTCCCAGCTGTCATAAAACGTCAGGCCACCTCCTCCCGCAGTCATATGGCTGCATTTTGGGTGCTTGGCAACTGGCTCACATTTATGACTGGTTGCCAAGCACCCTGCAATCTTGCAATCGCCATTTGCAATCTTCTCTGCCGGCTTCCTCATTGAAGCTGGCAGGGAAGGTTGAAAGCAGGGGGGATGCAGTGGTGTGCAGGAACAGAGCTCAAATCCTTCATAGAGCGGTATGAAGGAACGGACCCCAAACATTCAAAATTTGAGTGCCATAACTCCCCACCGCTGGGAGGTTTCCCCTCCCCTGTCAGCAGTATGGAGGCACAGAGCTCAAATCCTAATGATTTGAGCTCTGTTCCTCCAGCCCCAGGAAGCATTCCCCTCCATCCATGGAGGGGAGGGCAAACTCTTCGGCAAGTTTTAGTAACATTTGAGAGTGAAAGGGCTGCCTGCCAGGAGGATTTCAACTCAGTGTTGAGCTGAAATCCTTTAGCAGACACTTCTTTCGCTTCGTCCACTTAACAGCCTGGGAGATTGCTTAATGACCACAACTGGGAGTGCCTGGATTGCGGTACTTGAGCAAAGCAGTCACATGGGTGTCTTGCTTAACAACCGCTTCACTCAGTGACCAAGATTCTGGTCCCAATTGTGGTCATTAGGTGAGGGGTACCTGTACTTCGGATCTTTGCTGGAAATGTGAGCAACATTTTATTTATTTTTTATTTTATTTATATATTCAATTTATTCTCTGCTCATCTCCCCCAATGGGGAACTTGGGGCAGCTCACAAAGTATACAATTCTAATACATCTTAACAGTGACTAACAATTCTTACAATTACAAATCTACCATGATATATATTACACTATGAATAAAGGGACATTTTGTCATGTTTGGTGGACATGTAAAAAAGCCAAAGAATTTTATACACAGATAAATATACAAATTCAGAACATGTTAAAGACTAATGTACAATTGAAACCAGGGGCTTTTCTTTTGGGATTAATTAATTGGACAGACAGTAAGAAAAAAGCCATGGGAAGCCAAACCAAAAGGAAGGGGAGATCAATCCCACCCCTCCCAAAAGCTAAAGGTCCCTAAACCTTTAACATACAGGAGGAAGAGATAGAACAGGCTTTAGTACATCCACAAAGAAGGAAAGGCCACACCTATCAAGAGAAGAGAAAACATAAAGAAGGAACTCCTGATCAGAATGAAAAGAGGAAACAAAAAGAGGCAACGAAGCATTTCACAAAAATGGCAGGCATATACCAGAAATAACAGCCATGTACAGAGCAGAATCCCCGAGTTCTTTCACTTTGACTTGGGTTGGGGAAGTACAGGTGGAGAGGCAAAAGGTAAGGCAAGTGAGCTAAGACGGTTAAGGTCATCAGAAAGTGGATCTCAAACCAGGTGGTTCTTTCAGGTGCAGGAGCTGTTCGTGGGGGATATCCCAGCAGAGCTCCAGGGAAGAGATCGATCCACTCCGTCTCAAGAGCTGCTTTTCAGGAGGATCCAACTCAGGCCACCTCACCAGGTGAATGTAGGTTTCTTCTGAGAGCTGTAGGGTTCAAGCTCCGTCTGTTCATGAGCTGCTTTTACAATCAAATTCTGAGGCTGTGTGCATTGGAACAGTGTCCCCACAGAATGACCCACTGAGTCACACACTTTCAACTTTCAAGATTGTTCTGGAGATACACACAAGAGACAATTTACACGGCAACTTGAGAGGCTTGTATTAGGAAATGTAATTTATTTGTTGAAAGAGTTTAATCCATCTTAATATTTTTCTGAAGAGTGCCGAAGACCATTTAAACAATGAAGTCCATTAATTGAAACAATCGGAATACCATAAAAACTGCTTCAGAAATATGCCAGCATATCCACTTAAAAATGAATCGTATGAAGGACAGATTTCCCATGTGAAAACCCCTATAGTCAACGCTGACTGCAACAGGAACACTGTTGGTCAAGTGACTTGGGATTTCCAGGGTCATTTCCAACATTTTGAAATAGGCCAGGAAAGAAATTCCTAGTGGGTGTGTCCTGTTTTCTAGGGAATTTGGAATTTGCTCCCCAAGGCAGGTAAAGCCAGGGGATTCTGCCCCCCGAAACCACCTTGCTGAGTTATTCCTCACCAGTGGGAGGCTCACAAGGGATGCTGTGTTGCCATTCTACAACTTGGATGCACCTAAGCCATGTTTTGTGCAGTTAGAGCAGCAACCTTGGGGGAGGGGTGACCACAGCCACAAGGACTATGCGGACGTGCAGTCATAAACCTGCCCTGCAAGAAAATGTCCGTTTGATCCCTTGCAAGGCTCTGTTTTCCCTTTCATGCAGAAAGAAAACCTACAAGTCTTTTGTGGGATTATCTGCTAAAGAATATTTTCTTTCTCTTTCCAGGGCTCTGTTCCCTTTGAGGAGATGGCTGTAGACTTCACAGAAGAGGAGTGGGCGCTGCTGGATTCTGGCCAGAAGGCCTTGTGCAGGGAAGTCATGCTGGAGGTTTCTAGGACTATGGCCACTCTGGGTAAGGCCCCGCTTTGCTCTGGGCTCCATTCATTGGAGAAGGTTTTTCCAGTGGGAGGTAAACAGGGAACATGTCTGCACTCAGTTGCTTAGGGTGGTCATCTCCTGTTACGTCCTTGGCAGAAATGCTCACCATAGCTTTGGGAAAAACCCTAGATGCTCCATAGAAGTAGCTGGGCACATTGACCAATCAACAGCAAAGCCTTAATCTAGTTCCCAGCTGAAAAATCCCTTGGGTGCCATCAGTGTCTCCTAGACATAAATTTGCAGGCAATGTCTACCCAGACACTTGGCTAGGCCAAACCTGGAACACAGATGGGCAAGTTGTTAAGAGGGGGAGACCCCCCTTCTTGACAGTTCCAAATTTTAACAGGAATTTCTGTTTTCTTTTTTCCAACCAGGTGATGGTCCAGAGAATGACAATGACAATCAGGTGAGGTTAATGCCACTGCAAAGAGTGAAGCATGAATTCGAAGAAGTGCTGTTTGCCCATCAAGGGGATCCAAAAAGGCAAAAGGAAAGCCAATCAGAAGACGGAGGGGAGAAGTCCTCCACTTCATTCCCTGTTGAAATCCATGGCTCCCTGACCCAGCAAGATCAGAAAGGGAAAAGAAGGGGAAAATACGGCAAAAGAGAGAAAAATGAATGTGATTTACATGAATATGGCAGAAGCCAGACTAAAGGAAAACAGTATGATTCCAGACAGTATGGAAAAAATGTCAATCATTCCTTCTCTCTTAATTTACCCAAGAAACTGTATAGGAAACACAAACAATATACCTTTGTAAAATTTGGGAGGGGGTTCAGTCTGACCAGTGTGATGAAACTATGTATGAAGTGTGGAAAGAGCTTCAGTAGCAAGAGTAATCTTAATCACCATCAGAAGATCCACACAGGTGAGAAACCATATAGTTGCATGCAGTGTGGAAAAAGCTTTATTGACAGCAGAGACCTTATTCGCCACAAAAGGATCCACACAGGGGAGAGACCATATAAATGCCTAGAATGTGGAAAGAGCTTTATTGACAGCAGAGATCTTACTAGTCACCAAAGGATCCACACAGGAGAGAGACCATATAAATGCACAGTGTGTGGAAAGAGCTTTACTCAGAAAGGACAACTTAATTCTCATGAAAGGATCCATGCTGGGGAGAGACCATATAAATGCATGGAGTGTGGAAATGGGTTTACTCAGAAAGGACATCTTAAACGTCATGAAAGAATCCACACAGGGGAGAAACCATATAAATGCAGAGATTGTGGAAAGAGCTTTGCTGAAGAAGGACCACTTAATTCTCATAAAAGGATACATACAGGTGAGAAACCATATAATTGTATAGAGTGTGGAAAGAACTTTACTCGGAAAGAACATCTTACTTACCATGCAAGGATCCACACCGGGGAGAAACCTTATAAATGCACAGTGTGTGGAAAGAGCTTCAGTTTCAAGAGTAATCATAATCGCCATCAGAGAATCCACACAGGGGAGAAAACACATAGTTGCAGGGAGTGTGGAAAGAGATTCACTGAGAACAGAGACCTTACTTCCCATCAAAGACTCCACACAGGGGAGAGACCATATAAATGCCTTGCATGTGGGAAGAGCTTTACTCATAAAGGCACACTTAATTGTCATGAAAGGATCCACACTGGGGAGAAACCTTATAAATGCAAAGAGTGTGGAAAGGGCTTCATTAGAAATTGTGATCTGACTTGCCATCAGAGGATCCACACAGGGGAGAAACCATATAGTTGTAGTGAGTGTGGAAAGAGATTTATTGAGAAGAGAAACCTTACTTCACATGAAAGGATTCACACAGGGGAGAGACCATATAAATGTACAGAGTGTGGAAAGAGCTTTATTGACAGCACAGACCTTACTTGTCACCAAAGAATCCACACAGGGGATAAACCATATAAATGCCTGGAGTGTGGAAAGAGTTTTACTCAGAAAGGACAACTTAATTCTCATAAAAGGATCCACACAGGGGAGAAACCGTACAAATGCACAGAGTGTGGAAAGAGCTTTATTGACAGCACAGACCTTACTTGTCACCAAAGAATCCACACAGGGGATAAACCATATAAATGCCTGGAGTGTGGAAAGAGTTTTACTCAGAAAGGACAACTTAATTCTCATAAAAGGATCCACACAGGGGAGAAACCGTACAAATGCACAGAGTGTGGAAAGGGCTTCAGTGCAAACCGTAATCTGACTCACCATCAGAGGATCCACACAGGAGAGAGACCATATAAATGCACAGAGTGTGGAAAGAGCTTTATAGACAGCAGGGACCTTACTTGCCATCAATGGATCCACACAGGTGATAAACCATATAAATGCCTGGAGTGTGGAAAGAGTTTTACTCAGAAAGGACAACTTAATTCTCATAAAAGGATCCACACAGGGGAGAAACCGTACGAATGCGCAGAGTGTGGAAAGGGCTTCCGCCCAAACTGTAATCTTACTCGCCATCAGAGGATCCACACAGGGGAGAGGCCATATAAATGCATGGAGTGTGGAAAGAGCTTTATAGACAGCAGGGACCTTACTTGCCATCAATGGATCCACACAGGTGATAAACCATATAAATGCCTGGAGTGTGGAAAGAGTTTTACTCAGAAAGGACAACTTAATTCTCATAAAAGGATCCACACAGGGGAGAAACCGTACAAATGCGCAGAGTGTGGAAAGGGCTTCAGCACAAACTGTAATCTGACTCGCCATCAGAGGATCCACACAGGGGAGAGGCCGTATAAATGCATGGAGTGTGGAAAGAGCTTTATTGACGGTAGAGACCTTACTTGCCACCAAAGGATCCATACAGGTGATAAACCGTATAAATGTCTAGAGTGTGGAAAGAGCTTTACCCAGAAAGGACAACTTAATTCTCATAAAAGGATCCACACAGGGGAGAGACCATATAAATGCCTGGAGTGTGGAAAGAGCTTTTTTGACAAGAGAGGCGTTACTCGCCACCAAAGAATCCACACAGGGGAGAGTCCATATAAATGTATTGAGTGTGAAGAAAGCTTTAATGACTACAGCACCTTTACTCATCATATAGGGATCCACAAAGGAGAAAAATATAAATGCATGGAATGTGGAACAAGCTTCAGTGAGAATAGTGCGCTTAGTTGTCATAAAAGGATGCACGCGGGAGAAAACCTATAAATCCATGGAACGAGCTTCATTCCAAACAGTCAACTTATTCATGATCCAAGGATCCACACACACGGGAAAGCTTATCATTGCATGGAAGAAAGCTAGAATCTTATTCAGCATCCAAGCATCTACGCAGGAGAAAAGCTATAAATGTTTGAATGTGGAAAGAGCTGAAGGCGGATCAGTGACTTTACTTGTCATAGGATGACCCATACAAGAGAGTTACCATAGAAACCTACGGGTGAGTCAGTGGAAGTGCACCGCTGTCGAACTCCTCTTATACTTTCTGCATGTATCCCGGATACTGGGAACATACCATCTCATTAGGCTTGATTGCTGGGTCAGACAGAAACTTTATTTTGGTCATTAACCAATAAAAATACATTCTACAAAACAAAAAAAGCAAAATTATCCCCTAACATCAATAACTGTTGGCAACCATTTGTGGGTGAAGCTTACAAATAATACAGCAGAATTTGCTACTTTTAGAGAAATATATTTATCTTGGTTGTTGAACAGATAATACAAATAAAAATTATCAGAGTGCCCTGGAAATTTAAATAAAAGAGAGATAATCAACTGGTGGCAAATGTCCCTGTAGAACTGACAATACAAAAGAACCTGGGCTGTGATTTCTATGGGGTTTTCCTATATTTCCCTTCCAAAAGAGCTGTGGGGAGGACATTAAATCGGGCTAAAGACAAGGCTGTCCTGAATTTGGGGATTCTAATATGATGTAAATACAAAGCTGGTTTAGGCGCTAAGACTTGGTTATTAGCTTAGTATTATGAGAAAATGCAGCAGTTTCTGTTTGGCCTTCTGTATCTAAGATCCTTTGCCTTAACATTGATGTAGCTTGATCTGACTCTAAAGTTAAATGACATCACTGGATAAACCATAGAGACTCAGTTTCTTTTGAATAGCTATTTCCCAAGAGGATTTGAAGTTATCTG